AGCCCTTTCTGGCCAGATGGTGCTGCGTGGCAAGGAGACTTCCCACTTGGCTTGCACAGAAGTGCAGAGGGATCCCTGAGGGCATTTCTTTTTTCATTGGGTTTTTTTTTTTTTTCTGTTTTTTGGGGGGGGCCTTTCTTTTTTTAAAAAAATTTTTTTTGTTTTGTTTTCCCTCTTTTTCCCTTTTTGTCTTTCTTCATTGCTCCATTTCTCATCTCTCTATATCTTCCTTCTCTTTCTCTTCCCTGAATACCTGGCGTTGTATACCTCTACGCCTTCTAGCCAGGCTGTACTGCAACGCCTCAGAGAGATTTCACCAGACCTCATAGCAGTGCCGATGGGATCCCTGGGAACTTTGCGTTTCCTTAACCTTTCCGATTTTTATTTATTCATTCTTTTCTTTTCTTCCTCTTCCCCTTTCTGTTTTTCTCCATTTCATAGTCTCTCATCTCTCCACTCCAACGGCAAGCTCCCCTAGCATTCTTTTCTGTTTGTATGTTTTTGGCTCCTGTTCCTCTCTCCTCTCCCTCAAACCCATCTTAGCTCCACACATAACTATATCCCCGCTGAATCCTGCCTACCTGCACTGTGTCCTTGACATCACACCACCAAGCATCACAGGCACGGCCTACTGGAACCTGCCCTGCGCTGATTACCAACCCGCTCTGGTGGCTGTAGTAAATGCCACAAACAACCCGTCCCAATAACTCCTCTTCAGCTAGATCTGCCCTGCTGTACCATAACTGAGTGACTGACCCTGCCAATTGGAGAAGGAGGTGAAAATTATTCTGCCCACAGACGAGCAAACAACAAAGAACACACAGTCCGCCTGCTCAGACATAGTCAAATTTAAAAAAAAAGGGAGGGGGGATGAAACAAACAAATCAACAATCAGAAAATGAGAAAAATAACTACTGAATGCCCCGAAGACAGCAGACAATATCAAAACATTTACAAAAACAGGACAGGATGGTTCCAGCAAGCGTCCAAAATAAAACACCAGAGGACTCTCCAATGGAAGAAAAGGCACTAGAACTACCTGATAGGGAATTCACATCTCTAATACTCAGAATTCTCCAAGAGCTGAAGCAAAAAGAAGACAAACATGAGGAAAAAATAGACAAATTCATGGAAAATACAGACAAAAAATTGGAATAATTCAGGAAAATAATGCAGCAACAAAATGCCAAAATAAATTCACAACTAGAAATTATACAAAGACAACAATTAGAAATCCAAAAGATAAACAACAAAATTTCAGAAATGGACAGTGTCACAGAAAGGCTGAGAAGCAGATTTGAAACG